CATTGTTGACATAGTGAAAATCCAAGAGGATTATTCTTGGTCCAAGAGGATTGTTCTTGGTTTTGGGTAGTTCTTGTTTAAGTTTGCCACAATAAGGAAATCTCTTTCATGTTGAAAGGGGACTGGAGTACTCTCGGACTGTGAGGGGTACCAGGATATATCGCTTGTGTCTCTTTATTTTTCTGTACTTTACTCTTTCATGAACTCACCATAAACCAGAAAAATAATATCCATCATCACTAAAACCAGCAATTTTTTTAAAGTACCTAATTCACCCCCCCCCCCCTCTTAGGCGCACTTCGTACTTACAGTCTCCCATGCAACGCTTATTTAACATCGGAAGTTCGACAAAATTAACACTAAATTGTATCAACTAGAAAACATAGAAATTGGAAATCTTAGTAGAAATCAATGAAATCCTAACTAGAAAGCAATGTAATCATAAAATTAAAGTTAATCCTCCTCAACACTTAAATTAGACAGTGTCCTCACTGTTCAAATGTCAGAGTTAGAAATGTGGTACTATCCAAACAAATTAGCCACTACGTCGTCTGATAGTAGGCGCAAATGAGTTCTAGATGGAGTAGATATGCTGGAAATTTGATCAAATTACTCAGTATCTATATCTATAAAACCATGGAAGTTCACACGCAATTTGGTGAATTCTCCTAAGATTAGTAATGTCTGTCTAGAGTGCATTGATAGCAGTAGTGTGATCAGTAGGTGGAGCAATAAGGGCAGCAGAGGCACATAAGTCAGCATCAGAGAGATAGGCATCGAAGTGGTCATATATTTGAGGTGTCTCTGGAGGAGAGAGTGGTTCATTTTGTCATTCCAAATCGAAAAGTCAATTGTTTCTGTTGTGCACACTAGTTCTTTCATGGTTTGGCAAGGTAAAAAGGTGGACAACCTCATTGTTAATAAGAAATTCAAAGTTATTCGGGCCTATATTTCTAATGATGCCACAGTTAAAACAGAATTGATGGTGCATAGGTCAGATTCTGTCTAAGGGGCTGCTTCGATAAAGAGGTTGTCTTAGTCCAATGGCATTTGCAATCATGGTAACTAGGCCCCCTATATTGATAGGTCCATAGGCAGCTTGCGCAATTCGATCCATGTTGGCTAACATAAATGTAGCAGCATTAACGGGTCGGGCTTGTGAAGCACAATACATAATGAACAACTCATCTCTGGACACAGAGGTTATGCTTTATTCTTTTACGAATAGGGTGTGATCTAGGATCTTATGAAAGTAACAGATTGTAGGATTATGAATGTTCTCAGAATGCATGTCATTTGGATCAGGGTGGTTGTTTCCGGTAATGTTACCCCAAAAGTAGTTGAGTTCAAGGTTCATGAGGAGTTCTTCTTGAGTGATGGTAAAGACATCAGGGCCATTAGGAAATCCTAGAAGTTTGGCCATTTCTCTATGGTTATAGTGGTAATCAATACCAAACATTCTAAAGGTGATTAGGCCCCTATTAAACCCCAAGCCATGCTCCACAATAAGCTTAAGCCCTTCATACATGCCCCACGACTCCACCATTAAAACACTACAATGGACGATGAATTTAGAGAATCTTCGAATCCAATTACCATCTGAGTCACGAATGTTCCCATCACACCCAACTTTGTCATCATGACTCCTAGAGCCATCAACATTAAGCTTGATAAACAATTTTTTCATAGGGCACCATCTAATAAGATTCAACACCTTAGCCTTTTCCATAACCTGAGTGTTCATATTCATGGCCTTCATATATTTGAACCCTATCATTAGTATGCTCAATAGGATTAATGGATCTTTGAAAGTTCTCAATGTGGTTATCTTTATTCCTCCAAGTCCATATAGAATGGCACCCGATAGCCCAATAATTTCTCCAATCCGTGTCTTCAATTGGCCTAGTCAAAACATTGAGCTTAATCTATAAATTTGAATTATAGAATTCAAACTTAATGCTAGAAAGCACAAGCTTTCTAGCCAACTTACAATCCTGCAACACATGAATTGAAGTTTCACTAGCATTACCACATAGCTCGCCGTTAGCATCTCCAAAACTACAAATACTCTTCCTAAATATTTTTTAGGTTCAATTTGTAACAGTAACAATAATTATAGTTTTTTTGTTTGTACAAAATATATTTTACTGTATGAAAAATAAAAAATAAAAATTTAAATTCAAAAATATTGTTTGACCATTTTATTTTACGCATTGTAATTGTAATAAGGTATCCTTTTGTACTAAGGTTTTAGAAATATAAATATCTATGCAATTTTTATTTTATTTTAAGAAATAAAATATTAAATTATGAATTGTAAAATATATATATATATATATATATATATATATATATATATATATATATATATATATATATATATATATATGGTAGTTTGTAGAATAATAACTTGTGAAATATATAATTAGAGATGGTTTTTTTAAAACTTATGAATGAAATGTTATTATAGATGGTAATTTGACTCATTTCTAGTGAGTATTTACAAAAAAAGCTCATAGCAGGTAAGGTAAAATCATACGAAAATGAATAAGGGTACATTTTTGGGTAATTATCTATTAAATAAGTGGGTATAGATTCAGATAATTATCTATTAAATAAATGGGTGTGAATGTGGGCATGAACATCTCAGTACCTACTCCGCTTCATACCCGCATAATATATATATATATATATATATATATATATATATATATATATATATATATATATATATATATATATATATATATATATATATATATATATATATATATATATATATATATATATATATATATATATATATATATATATATATATATATATATATATATATATATATATATATATATATATATATATATATATATATATATAATAATAGAGATGGTAGTTTGTAGAATAATAACTTGTGAAATATATAATTAGAGATGTTTTTTTAAAACTTATGAATGAAATGTTATTATAGATGGTAATTTGACTCATTTCTAGTGAGTATTTACAAAAAAAGCTCATAGCATGTAAGGTAAAATCATACGAAAATGAATACGGGTACATTTTTGGGTAATTACCTATTAAATAAGTGGGTATAGATTCAGATAATTATCCATTAAATAAATGGGTGTGAATGTGGGCATGAACATCTTAGTACCCACTCCGCTCCATACCCGCATAATATATATATATATATATATATATATATATATATATATATATATATATATATATAAATATATATATATATATATATATATATATATATATATATATATATATATATATATATATATATATATATATATATATATATATATATATATATATATATATATATATATATATATATATATACTTTAATTTATATTATTATATAAAATAAAGGTTGTCAATTTTAAAAATACATCAATATTAAATCATTACATATTTAATATAAGTGTTCGTTTATTTCATAATTTAAGAAAAAAAAATTTAAAAACATTTAAATGTTATTAAAAATTTAAAATGATATGATATTTTATATTAAATATATTTATTTTTTTATTAAAAATACAGGTAACGGTTACGAGTATGAGTATTTACATATCCATAGAACACGAGGATGAATTTTAAAGTTGTTATCCAAATGGATATAAGCTCAAATATGAAATTTTTTTTCTAATCACAAAATATAAAAATAGATACTATAATATCCTACCCATATCCTGTCTATTATCATTCCTAAATATTATGCTAAAATGAATATTAGAAGTTTTAGATGGTTATGTTTATATAGCTAGAAGTTTTAGATTGTTATGTTTTGGAGAAAAATATTATATAATGTATGTTATCTTTATTTTGAACATATAATAATTATGATTTTCTTTTGCTTACACAAATTATATTTTATAGTATATAAAATAAAATATATGTTAAATTTGAAAAATATAGTTTGACAATTCTATTTTATATTAAAAGTAAAAATAAGTTAATTTTGAAAGTATTGTTTGACCATTTTATTTTGAAAGTATTGTTTGACCATTTTATTTTAGTAAAAATAAGATAATTTTGAAAATATTGTTTGACCATTTTTTTTCAAATTTTTTAAGTTGTTAAAATTATATTTTAGATCTGGATTAAATAAATAGTGAGAATAATTTAGTTTGTGTTACATCGCAGTGTTTGCAATTATTTGTATGTTTATGTTATTTATTCATCTATTCATTTGGCTTTTGTGATTTGTAAGTAAACTATTCTAATCATCAGTCCTATAATCATGAAATCAAAGAATTATCTTCACAAAAACACATATACAATCCATCAAATTTATGAGCTCAATCATCATTGAAATCTCCCTCATAAATCACTATCATTGAACATTCAATGTATCAATTACTATATCCCTCCACAAAGCTCCAATCAAAACAATTATTTGAATCACAATTAACTTTCTTTCATGACATTGTTTGAATCTTTGTTTTTTCCTTCATGACACCTATTCATCAAAACAATCATTGCCATTTAATAACATTTTATATTTTCTATGTACCCTATTGACTACTTTTTTTTTCTTCATCTTCTTCTTATTCTTCTTCACTCACTTTCATAATTCTCTTGATCCCTTTTTCTTTCCCTCTCAATCAACTTAAAGCTTCCATTTCCATCATATGTTGACAGATTCCCACTTTTTTTTGGTCCTCAAATCCCTTTATACATTCAAATATACCAAAAGAAACAAGTAAACAAAATCTTTCACAAACCCACTTTGCACTAAATTCAATGCTCTAATAGTTCCATTTTACCAAAACATTGGAAAAAGACCATGATGCTGACCACAACCAAACACTTCATTACCTCGTCCAATGTTTTTAAATTGTAGTTGCAATCGCGTCACGATTCTATATATCACTAGTCCAAATGGTCAGATCGCGATTGCAATTTCAAACCATTTTTTTCTTAAACTTTTATTAGAATCATCATAATTTATATATCTTCACAAATTTGAGACCCTTAGAATTTCCATTATGTCCTTGTGTGAAACAAAAAACCTTAAACAGAAACATAACAAGATCAGAAAACGAGGTTGTTCTTCCACATCTTCGTCGTCTATCTTTTCGCGAAAATACAGATTTAAGAGAGCCATTTTGATAGGGAAGAAAAGTGGATATAGTACACCAGCACCAACTTGGAAAACAAGTTCAAAATCACCTTCTATGGCAACTCATCATCATCATCACCACCATGTTACAAAAAACACAGCTTTTCATTCTTTTCGTTCCGGGTTACTCTCTAAAGAGAAAGAAACTTCTGTGTCTGCTAGAAAACTTGGTGCTACAATATGGGAAATCAATGATTTAACTCCTTCAAGGGTCAAGAAGGAATCAATGAAAAGCAACAAGGATAGAGACAGAGAGAAAGTTGAAAGCTTATGTAGATCAATGATATTGGGACCGCAGAAGTTAGATTTAGATCTATCATCAAATAGGCTTTTCTCTGAGGTAAACTTCTAAATTCATATATTGTGTCTGAATAATGTGATATTTTATTGAGGATAGATCCAATTACGCTTAATATTTTACTTAACATGACATTCTCTCTGATCACTATTATAAGCCGTTATTTACGTTATATCATATTTCAGTTTATATCATTCAGTATATCAGTTATTCAATGAATTTGAAGTGTGAATTTTTTTTGCACTTTTGTTATATTATGATAGAAGTTATTTAAGCTTTTTTACTATTGTGTATTAAATAAGATGAAACTAAACTATGTTGAATTACAGAAAGAAAGCAATAAAGCAAAAGAGAAGAAGAATTGTGGTAAATGCAAAGTTGGAGTCAAGAAGGGTCTTAAGGAAGCGAAAAGCGGGTTATGTGCATTGAAGAAGCTTCTAAAGGTGTTAAGTCAAATGGTTGTTGAAGAGAAGCATTCATCTAGAAGCATGCCTCTCATCTTGGCTATGAGTAACGAGGTCGATCATGTCCACAACCAAATTGATCAATTCATTCATGAACAAAGCTTGAATGAGAATGATATAGAGTATCTCATGAAGCATTTTGAAGAAGAAAAGAATGATTGGAAGAGAAGAGAAAGGGAGAAGATTCGCGAGGCCACAACGAGCATAGCGCAAGAGCTTGAGATTGAGAAGAAGCTAAGAAAGCAAACCGAGAGGATGAACATGAAATTTTCTAAAGAAATCGATAAGGTAAAAGCTTCCTATAAAAAATTGTCTAAAGAGCACGAAAGGGAGAAAAGGGCTAAAGAGATATTGGAACAAGTTTGTGATGAACTAGGGAAAGGAATTGGAGAAGATAGAGCAAAAGTAGAGGATATGAAAAGGGAATCAGAGAAAGTTCGAGAAGAGTTCGAAAAGGAGAGGGAAATGCTTCATTTAGCCGATGTTTTACGCGAAGAACGAGTCCATATGAAGCTCTCGGAAGCTAAGTATCAATTTGAAGAGAAAAATGCAATGCTTGAAAATCTTAGAAATGAAGTTGAAAGCCTTATCAGAAATAAAGAAGAAAAGGAAAAAGGCGATGACGATGTTGAAGTTGAAGTTGATCAAGGGCTTGAAAAACTCAAGGATCTTGAAATATTTCTAAACAAGACATTTTTCGAATTCCAAAATCTAGAGGAAGGGAATGATTCAATAGAGAATGAAGACGAGTCGGGTGAGAGTGATCTTCAATCTATTGAATTGAACATGGACAACGAGAATAAAAGCTACAAATGGAGTTATGCATGTGAGAATATTCCTCATTTTGAAGCAAAAAGAGTTTCAATTGATAAAGATATAGGTAGAAGATCTTTTTCTGATTGGGGAAGTATTTGCCTAAACAAAGGTACTAAAAAGAAGGACTTAGTTGGTGGTAAGTATTGAAGAAAGTTATGATCAACTTGAAATTGTTTTTGGAGATGATGAAATAAAAAAACATAAAGATAGTGGTAAGGTTTTGAGTTTGAGGTGCATTGAGAGTGAAGCAGAGGAAAATGCTCTGGCTTTGGAGGGATATGAATTTGAAATGAAGAAAGAGTGTGCTCCAAGAAAATGAAAGGAATTTTATTTTTGACAAGGTAGTAACATATAGAGAAGTTTCTTTGATTAGTTTATGTTTTTATGTTACTATTTATCTTTCATGGAGAGTTTATGTTCAGCAAAAACAATATTCATATCTACATATTACTCAAATTTATTCAAATTTCTTTAAAGTTATAAATTACATGGGTTCTATCAAAATTTTATTCTTAATTTATTTGTGTGAATGTTTAACGTATGATGCAAGTAAAGACTAACTTTTATGCATAGTTTTGCTTTTCCTTGCCTTTCGTGCTTTTAAAAAAGTCACTTTTCTTGCCACCAACAAGTTTGTGTCAAACAGACAGTAAAGCTTAGATAGTTAAGTTGCAAATCCAAATTTAGGAATGAAGCGACGATAAATCATAAAAAAATAATTATTTTTTTCTTTCATTAAATTAGTTATAACATTACAAATAAAGATATATTTAATGATTTATTTATATTTTTAATACATTCAAAATTATAAAGTAATTTTGGATGAATAAAATTTAACTCTTTTATATTAATGATTTAGTTTTAATTAAAAACGAGTTAAAGTATAGTAAGTTTAAGGACTTTTTTAAAAGGAGAATACTTAGGTGCATTTTCATAGATATGGTTCATATTTTTTTCAATAAAAATATGATAAATATATTTAAACATTTTTAAGGAGTAAAAATAGGAAGGAAATACATATGTATAAGAGAAAATTATACACCTGTCATATTTTCATTTGAAAAAAGCATAAACCACACCTAAGGAAATGTATCTAAGTTTTTTTCTTTTTAAAAAACAAATGCTTTTAGGGAGGTACATTTTACGGCAGACGTCTCTGATCGCGACTTTATCGTCTAAATTAATTGGGAGTCTGCAAGTATACAGCCCTATCGCGTAGTTTTAAAAGATATCGAACCTAAGGGACTATAAATCGAACTAACGTAACCTAAACTACTGTGTAAAGCTATAGCTATCGAATAATTGATTAGGGGAATTTTTGGGTAATAAAACTTAATTCTAATTGAAATAATAGTAATGCGAATATCGGTACGTACTTCGTTAACATTAAAGATCCGGCTTTCCACTGGCTTATTTTCTAAAAATGATAATAATATCTTTTTCAGCAAAAAGTATTTATTCAAAAATCTATTCTCAAACTTTCGCTCTATTGAAGTAAATTATAATTTTAAACTCTGATGTATGCTTTCGCTATCCCATTGATTTTAAAATTACTTTTTGAAAATAAATAAAGTTTAATTAGTTTTAAAACACTGTCGCAGTCTTTAAAAACAATACCTAGTATCTATTATCTGATTCTAAACCTCAAATTGTCGCTTTATTGGTTTCTAATCTTAGTCAGTTTATTAGCCTCAAACTTTCGCTCTGTTGGTTTCTAAACCTTTTTAACAAAATAAACTAGATAACTAAGTCAGAAAAAGTGTTTATTTTATAAAATATAATCAAGCCTGTTTGTTCCGGATCCATTCAAATTAACTCGTTACATACCGATATTTAAATAATTTAGCCAGACATACTCATAAAAGCAGACATGAATACATTAAAGGAATTAACATTCGTAAATAAATTCATGGCTAAATAAATATCTCTCATGCCAATAATTAATTAAATAAATTAAAGCGATGTAAATAAGAAACCTGAATTAAATAAATGCTGGAAATAATTCTTGAAGCTTGAATCAATTCGTACAGAATCCCGGTTCTTCAACAGAAATAAAATCTAAGTATTCGAAAAGGAACTGGCTGGAAAATAACTGCTGGAAACTGAATTACAATGGAAAATAATAATGCGGGAAGGTAAATTCTGAAACTGGAAAATAATGCTAAAAAACGGTCCCTTTTTTTGATTTCCTGATGTCCTTTTATAGAGGTAGAGTGTAACCACCTCTTGAGATATTTTCGTACCACTTTTCCCCAAATTTCTCGTTCTAACTGCTTTGAGTGGAGGTGGTCGTCCCCAGATTTTCTCATCCCCTTTTGACCACGTTGAGACGGGCGCCTCCCACTAAGGAGAGGGTCTGAGGCGGGCGCCTCAATTGTAGGAGAAGAGTTGAGACGTGTGTCTCACTCTTGCACGTGCCTTTAGGGCTCTCTTGCTTGCATGGGCCTGATTTCGTTTGGGCCCAGTTTGGAGATAATAAACCTTTTGATCCATCATTTTTGCTTTGCACACCCTTTTTCTTCATTTCTTGCATATTTAGTCCAATAACTCTCTTAATTTCTTCACTTTGCTCAATTTGTCTAATTAAAATAAAATACCTGAAACAATAAAAATACCGGCGTAATATGGAAATAAAACGAAATAATTAAATAAAAATACTAACATTATTTATGAAAATTAAATTAAATATACTATATAAAATTGTGTTATCAAACTCCCCTGTACTTGAACCGTTGCTTGTCCTCAAGCAAAAGAAAAAAAAATGAAAATCACTGACGCACAGTTAAACACAGATATAAGAACATACATCACTTCGTACCAGGTTGCAAGTTGAATTTTTCGTTAGAGAATTTAAGTCGAACTTAAACACCAAAGTTATCGTAGGAACACTGGACAACCCCATTTAAGCAGACCAATTTAAGTCATGTCATTATAGCTTAACCTAATACTACGTTTTATTTCACCCGTTTTCATTCTAGTGCAATCACATTAAGCCCTTTACCTTACACGCACATAGTGGAGTAACTGGTTAGTGAATTTGATCTTAGTAAGCCAGCTAGGAGTTCTGGTAATTTAATCATATGGTACTCCCTTTTTCCAATTAAAAATTGCGGGGGATCGAACCGTAATTCGCCCTACCAAGTTCAGCACCAGGGACCACTTAACCAATTTATAATGGATTATTTTGCATTTAAATTTATAGTTTCTGCAACTGTTGGATTAAATGATCTGGTAAGGACCATCTAACTTAATAAGTGCATCTTCAGATAAAAGCAATTTCTTAAGAATATTTGATCAATCACCTATATTCATCAGCTCTCCACGTAGTTTGTGTTTATGGCGGTGCCGACTGCTTAATAAACTACTCGGGGCTAATCTAAAACTAAGTTTTAAAGGTTTTGGTATAATAAGCACTTAAATCGATCCAACACATTGGGGGTTTTGAAGTGTTAAGACGATAGCAATTTTGCTAAGTTGCTCGAATTCTTATTTATAATAGGCAACCTTAATACTAGTTGAATAATGTTTATAAATGCGTGTTAAAATTGTTTTATTTTATTCGTTATGGCTCGTTATGGCTCAAGAAATAGGGGGAATTCGAGTAAGCACAAATTTTTGCATAAGAGATTAAAATTTGCATAAATAAGCATTTTATTGAATGGAAATTTTGCAATACAAGAAAAGAAATAAAAGGAAAAATACTACAAAGAGAGCAAAGGAAATAGAAATGAACAAGGAAATGATCTGACTCCCCTATACTTAAAAGGAGCAATGTCCTCAATGCGATAAAAACAAAGGAGAATCAGATGAAAAGAGAAAGGCGATCACTCGTTGCTTTGAGAATCATGATCTCTTGTTCTTCATCCTCTAGTACGAGGTCTTCGTCGTACGTCAGAATTAGAATCATTAAGATGAAGTGCGTCTGCTATGCGAGCTTGCAAAGATTCGAGGTTACGATCATGGCGAAAGGCATATTGTTGTTGTTCGCGTTGCATCTCTTGTTGGTCACGTTGTACTGCTTGTACGAGACGTAAAGTCTCAGCTTGGTTTTGTTGCATGGCATGGAACAACTGATCTTGACGAAGCATATGAGCCTGCATAGCTGCGAAATTTGCAGCGGGATTATCTGGTTGTTGGGCAGCAGGTGCATCAAGAGCATACGATAATTGGCGCGGACTCAGACGTCGATACGATTCGGACAAGGTAGCACAAAATCAGGAATTGGACGACGATTTATCACTAATGTAAACCGGCCATCATGTCGTGGAGAGATTATATGGGAATCTCGGCAATAGATGACATCAAGAAGAGTGGCTGGCATCATATATTGTAACAAAGAAAGTAGCTCGACGGAAAGGCCTAAAGCATATGCTAAAGATGTGATGATGCCTCCAAAAACAAAGGGATTGGTACCTGCTGCGTTCACGCATGTGTGGATGTGACTGAGCATGAAAGGAGCGACGTTGACAGCTTGACCATTAAGGGCACAGAAAATGATGAACAGCTCATTTTGGTTGACCTTGTGATTATTGGTCCGACCAAAGATGGTGTTAGCAAGAACACGGTGAAAGTACCTTAATGCAGGGTTATGTATTTGAGAAGCATAGAGGTCGCGCCAACTTTCCGTGGTTTGACCGGTTAGATCATTCCATAAGGAGAAGCCGACTTGATCCCAAGAAAGATCGTGGTCATCATCGAAAGGCTTGTAATGAACATGCTCTCCGCGAGTGAAAGATAAGAGTTCAGCGACTCTTTCTTGATCAAGAGAGTACTCTTGGTTAAACATGCGGAAGTTGGCGGTTCCGGTTGTGTAGGGATCGTCGACAGGTGTTGTGTAAGAGAAGGAACTAAGAAATTCAAGCACGAGTGGTTCATAGGTTGGACATGGGTTTGTGCATAGACTGGTTAAACTGGTGTTATTGAGCATGAATACGATGCTATTGGTCATTCCTAAGGTTTCCAAACACTCCGAACTTACGTATTTTGTAGGAACGACGGAACGGGTATAGAATTTTTTATATTTTTGTTGTTGTTGGCCGTCGTCGTTATCGCGGAAAATGATATTGGATAGGTCGGGTGGTGGTCGGTCGGGCTTAACTTGTCTTTGGTTGTTTCGTGGAGCCATAGATGGATATGGGTTAAAGAAG